TTATCACTTCTAGTGTTTTTTCATCTGAATTAAGTGTTCCCTTTTACGAATAATTTCAACCTGACAGGATTTTAAACACACTTGAATTATGATCTGTATAAAACGTGACAGATCAAGCTTAAATTGCTGTTTGGCAGATTTGAAGTTTGTATGTCGATTGCAGAAAGTTTAGTAGCCTCGGTGGGATTCAAACCCACGCATGGACGCTGCCTACGCTTTGTACGCGCCTGCTCTACCAGCTGAGCTACGAGGCCACTCCGATAGCACTGACCCATCCAACTTACAGAGGCATGTGGCATCGACCAGTGCGTGGGTTCGAATCCCACCGAGGCTACTGAACTTTTCACAATCGAGATCAAACTTAGATTGAGCAATTAGCAGGACATTTTCGCAAAACATTTCCTCACAGTCGACTGACGATGTTTTGGCTAACAATAAAAGGTAAAGCTAAAGGAGAAATGAGCAGATAACAAATAACTCAAATTGCTGCTATGCAGTAATTTACGATTTTTTCACTATTTTACACCATTATAATCTTATCGACACCGTGAGTCTCAAGGAGACGGGGATTCGCAGACTACAAAATATTTCCAGATGTTTCCGTCCTGTCTATTCTAAGTGAAGCTCTAAGCAGCCGTTAGTTTCAGGTAAACCATTATTCAATATTTTGAAAGCTTGGCCTGTTCTGTAAACTCTTGTCTAACATATTTAACTAAAGGAGCCATGACAGCGACATGTTCCACAGATCAGAGTACCGCTATCAGACTCTTGTTGGGGCTAGAATAGTGGGCGCTTGTCGCAAATGAGCCTATGACCAGATCACCCGCCTACGGCCACTTTTGTAATGCTTGTGATACCTCCATGCTCACGACGGATGACCATTTACGTGACTGATGGGTATTGCGGTTTTCGCGGCAACTGTCCTCGGAGGTTACCCGGCCAAGGTGGGTAAGCACCAGTTTCATGGCCAGCTTTATGTTGTCATTGTATAATTGCCAGCCCCAACTGCAATGATAACGTCTTCCCACTCTGAGCCAATCGACTTCGAGCTTTTGATTTTTGGTCTGATTTTCTCAACCACACTCTGACCTCCTTGTGCTCGGCTGTTCCGTGCCTGTCACACTTTCAGTCCAATGTAATCTGAAAACATGTACAAAGCTGATGAGATCAATAGGAATTCGTTAAATTGAACACACCTGTGAACATGTTGCTCATCATCAGCATCGTACAGCGAAATACATTGAAGCGAACTTCGCTGGCCGCTACCAAGCGATGCTTTTACATGCTCTTGTGAAAACACAAAATAAAACTAGTTGAATGAAACGTTGATTATATCTCGACGTTTTTGGCCCGTAAGGTAAATAAATGTATTTAAGTTAAAGTTTATTGTATCAGAAAATCAGTAGCCCTAATGAGATTCAAACCCACTTTTGGGCAAGCCAAAAAGAAACTCATAACTGATCTAGTTCGAAAGAGATTCATTCATTGAAATAGCCACCTGAAACGAGATTCTATACCATAACTAGCATGCGCGTCAGTAATAACTATGAGGCACAGTGAATACACAGCAATACTTCTCCCTATCACGATCTTTATTGATTAGCTTCTCCACATGAAGTGCAAGCGGCTGAGGGATGCCAGTTACTTGTCTCTAAAATCCCTTCCAAGATTATACAATAAAACCACACTTGTGATTCAATAATAAACCTAATATGAGTTTTATTGGTCTCAATCTTTCATTCATAGTGAGTATCGGTGATCTCCACGGAGGAATGAAATTTCAATTTTTCGATTGTTCCCATACTCATCCCTTTCTTTTGCTACAAAGTAATAAAAATCTCCTGTCTTATATTCAACGTCCCAAAATGCCCACCCAATCAAGTAGGTTAAAGCCCAATTAGCTAGAACGATGCATTCATGTCAATGTTTGTCCAAGGCGATATTTTGTAAGTAATTTATTGAAACAGCTAACTTCAATATTGTTAATAACCAGTAACTGTAACAAATTATTTTCAAATAACTATTCAACTTTTCGTCACACGAATAGGATTATTAGAAATTTAAATTCTACATACACTTATCATTTTTCTATTTTCGTCTACATAGTGTTGTGTTTTGGTATTTATCTGGCAATTACAATCTATCAGACCTGCGCTGGGAATTGAGCTTTCAGACCTGAGAGATGGACATCATCGTATTTCGATTAAATCATTAGTACAAAATTTGTCCAACTTTTCCTCTGTACAGTAATAATCCCGAACAATATGTGCAGATACCTATGTGTGCTATGGTTTGTCTTGACATTACAAGATACACCACGTTTATATCCTGCCTCTACCGCTTGTTGTTACGCGTCTTTCATAGACAAAACAAATAATTGCACGACAATTTAGAGCTACCCTCATCCTCCTCTCAAGGTCATTTTATCAGATTTGCTCATCTTTTCTTTCCTGGTTGAATGGAATTTACCTTTCACAAATCTCTTTATGCGATCAAACAAAATGACCAGGACGCAAAACACGTGATTAGAGGTTTTTGAAAATTTCAATGGAAGAGCTTCTGAGGCGTTGTCAATAACACACCTCCATTTGACCCAGTTATAAATTCCCATTTTTATTCCACTTGTACGATGGAATAATAATCGTATGAATATGAAAACTATCGAATTTTCAGGGTTGTCCCATAAAACGTTTTTTGACATGTCTATGGGGTGGACATTTCATAATAGGTAAACATAGATTGCATTGAGTGCGCGATGACACATTCAGTCTTATTAACCTCAGTGTTTACATTGCAATTCATACAACTGAAAACCGGGAATCGGTGGCAGGAAATAGTCAATATACAACTCGATTTCTACTCTCATCCGTACGTTTCTCTTGTATTTAATGTGTAATTACACTTTTATTATCAGCTCTAAATGAGGTCACTATATTTTCAAACACAGTACTCTCCAATGGAAGACACCGTAATTAACCAAGTAACTTTACTCATTTCCAAGGTTTAACCGTAATCAGTTCAAATATAATCTGTAGTTTGCTGTTTCTGAAAAAGATTTCAACTCAAAAGCGTTTGAAAGAAAAGGAAGTGGTAATGCTTGGTCTAATAGTTTCCATTAATTTTAGTTTCCCAGTCGCCACTAATGGGACTAAATGGCAAAGTACTATATTTTTATCACAAACTCAATTGAACAATGTTGGTACCAATGGAGCATTGTTTTGCAAAGGCAATTTATGAGGCTACAGTGAAAGCTTTTACTTCTAGGTTTATCAATTGTTTGTTTCTCTATATCAGTCGAAGTCTATATAACCAATGGTACAAAATAACGCGATTCTGAAGAATTTGAAATGATATCCTTCCAGTCGCGACATCGGTAGAACTGATATATTACGACGGATCTAGAATAGCTTCTCTACCAACAAAACATTGGCGATTTATCGCTGTAGCCCTAATTCATTTATAACAAATTAGTTGCTTGCCCAATTTTACTCGCTCAGTTTTCCTGAACTGACTGCTTCATGCATACACTTCATCGTAATTGGAAACTGTATATGGGGTCACACCGCTTTACTAATCATANGATCTAAAACATTGAAGTGTGCGTGTTAAGATCTGAAAGCATCAGATACTGCTCCTCACCAACCAGCACATGAGTACAATGGTGACCCTTGTCATATGGTAGTCAATCGCCCCTCTACAATCTGTGTTTTGTGTAACCTAAGGGAATATCTTACTGCAGTGCATCAGCCAACAAGCATCATTTTCAGTTCGCCCTCGATTTGCAGTGAATGTATTTTTCCTCGTTGACTCCAAATATGATATCTGTACACTGCACACTGGAAAACATTACTTTAAACTTTAATTATTTTTCTGTTTATATATGTATGTCTAAATAATGGTTCCGTAAATCTGCCCCTGTAAAGAACAAACGTAGATACCGAAAACAAAGGTACTCTGCCGGATTTACAGAGTAATGGAATTTTGCTCACTCAAAATCCAACAAGGTTCTTTTCGACGTTTTCGCTTTTGGCAGATTGGTTGTCCGATTTTATTGTTTAGTGCGTTTCATTTAATCAAAAGTATTCTCTAAATCTAATACTGCTGAAAGAAATTCGTTCGCGAAATCTGACGGTTTGGAGGCTTATAAAAATAACTAAATCTGAGTTGGAGCATTTATTCTCTACTTGTCTTTTTTACTGCCAAATCAGTAATACGTTTCGCTGTAGAAGTCAGCACGTTAGATTGGTCTTATCAAGGATATTCCATGAGTGGCCAACGCACCAATTGTATTTCGTCAATGTTCTTCTTTTTCCCTGTGTATTCATGAATCTGTAATAACTAGTACGTAGTACATCGACCGTACATCTCTTCAATTATAATAAATAGTGGCTCAGTCAGTGTTACTTAGTGAGCACATCTAGCAACGTCCTAAATGATAGAACAGACTGGTATCAGGCGTTCAACGCAACTATCTGTCATAATACAGACCAGGGAAACGTCAATAAGTAAGTATCCCAATATTTTTATCAAACGGTTTGGGGTTCATAACACCTGACGGCCTTTCATACACACTTACCTACTGAAACGCTGATATTATTCTGTGTATTCTGGGTTTCGATTCAATCCCGTTTTAAGGTCATACTTAGCAATTTTGAATGAAATGGTTTCCCTTACACATTGTTTTTATGTGACTTCAAGTACCGTTCCATACTAAGAGTAGTTTAACCGAAACTCACAGCATTCGGTGTAGCTTAATGTGGACTGATACACTTCGACCATCATTTTAGGACACTGACAGATTTTCGTCGGGCCGTTCCGTTCCGCTTCTGCCATGGCCGAGAAATCAACGATATTGGGCCAGAGAAAATTTGCCGGAACTTTGTGTGGATTTATGGACCGCGATGGTTGTGTTCCAATCGGTTCACATACGGCATTTCTTGAACGGCAAACGGATAATTTCTGATCGCATTCAGATCCCATATCGACTGATTGATCCATATTCAGGGAGTGGTCGTTGGATAACAAAAGGGAAAAGTAATCTGTCTGGATAACACGCTTTCAATTTCATGTACAGTATATTGTTGTGCTAAGCAAACAATGAATTTTACAAAAAGAGAGGATCGTATAATAGGCTTTATCTTTGCAAAGGTCTGTCGATGAGTGCTATCTGCGTTCATGTATTAAAGCGCATTATATATAACTAGAACCCCGGTTTTACGATTATCTATTCACCTTTAGCCTTAAAACTGTCAACTCGAAAGACTGTAAAATCCCAAATATAGAGAAGAATAAACAAGAAATCTAATCCAAATAGATGTATCACTTCTAATATCAAAAGTATCTGCATAGTAACAATGAAGTTCACATTCCGAATGGATATGTTGACAGTATTTTTTTGGGAAACCAGCTATCCAGGAATTTAGTAAAAGGAACGTATTCATGGTGTTTGGAGGAAATCAATTCCAAGGACTGCTAGGTCAATTTTGCAATGACATGTGCTGCTTGATAATTGCTTTTGGCATTCGTTAACCATGCCAGTGCATCCAAATGATCAAAACTGTTTTACATTGGTCAAACACACAGATGGTCCTCTGTCATCAGTTGGTGGTAGCGTTGGTAGTGTTTTATGCAACCAATCAATTCACTGCACGTTGATAGTCAGAAACGTGCAACGGAATTCAGTTCTTGTGATTGCATGAACCAGAAAAAATTTCTTCCATTTGTCAAATCAAAGCTAACTTGGTCTTGCTAAAAAGTATCATCATTGTGATTCATTGAAAAAGAGAATGCATAAAACTGTTCAGAAGCACCAATCTAATATGACTAACGTACACATTGTGTACAAACTCACCCAAGGTTCCAGCGCAAATGTTCTTTGTCCAGTCTTCCGTCCGCATACCTGCCGGTATTCGATTGTCCGGGCAGACGCATCCAATGCGACCTGGATTGAATCTTTCAATAAATAGAAGTAAATTAAGAATTATTTGATTAACGGTGAAATTTTACACTCGTTCGGTACATGTTTGTTGAATTAGTTTAACTTTTTCTTCCCAAACCGAATGTTCTGTAGATTAAACTTCTTCAGGGACTAACATAAACTGTGATACCCTACTCCCAACTTGACCTGTACCAGTTTTGCCGCTATCGTGTTTGTTGTATTAAACGTTTGTGTGTTACTCGTGTTATGCCTTCGTGCCTGAGTATGTTTGTGGTAGGTGCGACCGCACTGAGGCGATAAAACATTGTTCTAGATCGAGCTTATGTCCACTCTCTGGCGCATCACGTAATTTTGGTAGCCACGTTTGCCCTTCCTCTCTTCCATCTTCTGAATATCTAACTAATCCAAAACTGGTAAAGCCTCACACTTCAATGAACAAATACAATGTTAGAAAAAATAATTAGAAACACCTCAAAGCATTATGTCATTATTTCCGCCTATCCACTCGTGTGTCGTTTTAGTTGAAATCAACTGCCAGCACGCCCATTATGTAACCAAATGGTTTCTTCTAAACAGCTTTGAATATGCCAAATGCGTCGTCAAAAAAGTTCGTATATTCATATGATTACACTCTCGTGTGATACAAGTCATTTACCTCTGCTCCACTTCGGAGAGTTCGAAAGCTTCATGGAGAAAACAGCTTCCGTTGTGCATCTGACATGCTTTGCAGACCGGATCTTGATTGTATGTGATTCGTGTTCCTGAAAACCGGAAGGGGAAGGCTTGATAACTGGGAATCTTTATTTACATTTATGAGAGTGATTGTTATGGAGCAGATAGAAGTAATTCGATTAAATCTGTTCATCGCATCTGGTGTATAAACAAGCAGCCCTAAGACGGGTGGCCCACTGCAATTCCATACAGTATCTCAACTGGCTTGAATTCTTAACATTTTCCGTGTGGTACATGTTATAAATGACGGACAGTCCGTTTGCAACCGAGATCTCAACATTAAACCAAAAGTAAATGAAGGTATATTATTCATGGTCTAATTATAACCATTAGCTCCCTTTGTTTCAATTTTGTGTCTTTCTAGAGTATAGTTCTATAATGTCTTGTAAATTATGCATTTATTGAGTTTTTTTCAAGGAACATAGATAACAACGATTACATCTATATATGTTGCAAACAATCAACTCAATAACTTTAAGGGAGTGTCGGTGACATCGCAGTTGTACCCTAAAGTATGGAAATAAAGAAAATACGTGGATTCAGTTTTGGTATTTTGCCCTTCACAGAGTCATATACGCAGCCTATCCGTTTTTTTTACTATTTGTAATGTTTGGGCTAAATAACGGAAACTCTCCAACAGTCAGTCTATAACGCCATAAAAACCCCAATTCCGTTATTTGTTTTTGTGGGCTTGGTGATTAAGGACTCCCCAAAAGGACGGAACCCATCGTGTGTTTCATTGCAGCCCTTTGATTGGCCGCTTCGCTCTTCCTGAAAATTGTACCTTTGTATATTCAATAAAAAGGAAGTAAAATTAAAAATGAAACAATCGGGCTCCACCAGTCTATAGTCGAACCGCAACCAATTTTCTGAAAATGCCACAAACACCATTACAAAATTATTTATTATATAGGACGGTCTCTTTATTTAAAATTAGTCTGCAACTAAAAATGCCCCTCAATATAATGAGCACTTAGTATGTCGGTCGAATGAGAAGCATAATTCTGAGAGTATATTGTCATTCTGCAAAATAACCGACTCTTCCATTTGGATGTCAGAAATGTGAGTGGTACGAGGCTTTCATAATTCAATTTGCGCCAAACCAGCCGGAGGTCTTCTGTCCAGTCGCAAACGAGACAGTGAACAGAAGCTGCAGTCAAAAAAGTGGTTGACAATTTGATAGCACATCATCAAATAAACACACAGACACACACAAAACACACGGTCACCTCAATTTGTTTTTGTGGTTGGGCGTAAAGCGAGAGGACAATTGTTATTCAACTCACGACAGGCATGTTGCTGGGGTACGTAAATGGTGTTTCCGGGACAGGAACAATACCCCGCTCCGGGATGACAACTGCTACGATTGACGTGAATGCAATCACGGTCGACCCGGCACTTCAAGTCCGTTAACACTGCGCAGTAGATGATGTGGAGAAAGAAGTAGGATGTGAATATCTTAGAAAGAATGACTTTTTACATTATACTCCATTTTTTGAAGACATCATACTTAGCCAAATATATCGTTGAATATATGTGTTCTGCATCTGGAGAAATGTGAAGAACATGTGAATACTCCGAACTAAATGATGAACATTGGTAACGAAGATTCGCGGACAGTTCAAACTCATTTAGAGGCTTAAACATATCGGCACAAATCAAAATCTATACATCGTTCACGGAAGACAGAAAATTTACTTGGTTCTGCCACCGCCCAGTGGTTGATATTATACTCATTACGCTGATAACATCGATAGCCATGAAAAAGAGAAACTGATATCGGGAAGAGGTTCCACTCAAAAAAGAATTATTGCACAGAATTAGCTGTTGCTTATCAATCGATCTTTGAACCAAGTCATGACAAGCGACCATTGAGAAAGTTTGGTGCCCCGTGTATCAATGTCCATTCGATCATATACATAGTGACGTCGCCAAGCTGGTTTTTGAGTTGTTAGAATCATTCTTTGATGGAGTTCTGCTCTATAATGGACAACCGACATGAAAGGTTTCCTACCATAATGCAAATTTAATTGTGGATAAAACATTATCTTCCAGTATGACATTTGCAATTATTCATTCTCCCAAGTGGTTTGTAATTTTGCATCAATGATCCGAAAGTCCAGTTCAATTGTATGTATACAAATACGGTTTCGAGAACTGTATTCATCACCTCATTTGACCTCATTATACTTTTTCTGCTGCTGCTGCTGATGATGATGATGATGAAGATGATGATGCAGAAAAGAATAGATCAGACTGGCTAATATCATTAGCTGTATATCCTTTTGTCTGCAGAACACTGATGATTCCTAGCTGTGTCAATATGCGTAAGGCAATTAGAGTCAAATAAGTTCATCTTTATCCTCCTTCGCACTGCTGATAAACGCGGTCGATCAAGCGCGGAAAACAAATTTAGCATGCAATCCATCCATTCACTCCTCCAAAAAGCAACTAAGTTATACCGAGTAGGATACCAACCACAAACCCGACATTCGGGCATTTACTACCAGTAGATTGTGCACAGGAAACATCACTCAGGTGAACGTCTGTACTGGTCAAACTGAAATATCAAGCTTCCATGTACCAAGGAAGAGTATCGTCGGAATGAGAAAACTCTTGGCTGATCATCAGTAGGCCACACAAAAGCACTATGATCTTAACTCTGAAATAACGTTTGCAAAAGACTCAAATTAGACATAACCACCATGCGAGTTTACCAAAACTGCAAGAAGTTCATGGGTAAAAGGAGTGAATTCCAGAGACAATATAGAGAGATGGACTACACAAGTGGTTAAAAGGAGTGATTTATCCCTTATGAAGGATAATATAAACCAAATAGAGTGCACGCTAATTCATAATTGTTCATAAAACAAAAACCCGCACTTGTCAGCGAAACGTCAACTTCTGGGACAACTCGATATACACTTCACTTGTAACAAAGTATGGAATTCCCGCGAACATCCGATAGGACTGAAAATGGTATTTATATAATTTGCTCATAATTGTTTTTACTCATGAAAGGTCGAGAAATAGCAACCGAATTATGCTAACAAAATAAGATACATATGAAATAGGAACAATATATCCAGATTATCAAAAGCGATTGTAAAAAATAGCAGAAATATACCGGTCAGAAGTTTGATTGTTGAATGGTGAATGGTGAAATAAATTGTGCATGATAAATTTTATTACTCAGGAGAAATTTTACATTTAGTCTATCCAGAATATCACGAGTTTTGTACTATTAAATGTGAAAACATTTTCTCTACCCATTTTGGGATTGCTGTGGCATACGTTTAACTTCAGGTTATAGTTATTTGGAAACATA